TCATGCATACATTTGCTAATCTTGCTAATGAAAAAATCATTAAAGTAGTTTACAATATCAGTCAGTTTTGTGATGAGTGAGCCATCTGATTCAATGTATGATGGAGCTGAGTTTGCCCTTTTCCCCAAAATGTCATTGAAGGTGCTCCAAAGCTTTTTACTATCATTCTTTGTCATTTATCTTTGTTTCATACTGTAGTTTCTTCTTCTTTTTATTCTGTTTAGTCATATGATTTCTCAGTTTGCAGTACGTTTGCCAATCGGTTGTGCAGCCAGACTTATTTGCCATTCCTTTTGCCTCATCCCTCTCAACCATACCATTTTTTAAATTCCTCATCAATCCACAGGGATTTAACAGTTTCTACAGTCATTTTCTTAATGGGTGCATGCTTATTAGTAACTGGGATAAGCAATTTTATAAATGTGTCAAGTGCAACGTCTGTTTGATCCTCATTACACACCACAGACCAACAAATATTCTTTACATCAACAACATAGGAATCCCTACAAAACGTATTGTATGACCTCTTATACACTATATTAGACCCAGCCTTTGGAACTTTGGTTTTCCTAGATATGGCTACTATATTGTGATCACTTCATCTGATGGATCTGGATACTGCTTTCAAGCACATTTCTGCAGCATTAGTTAAGATGTGATCAATACATGTTAATGATTTCATTCCTGTGCTGTTTGTAACTACCCTGGTAGGTTGACTGATAACCTGAACCAGGTTGCAGGCACTGGTTACAGTTTGAAGCTTTTTCTTGAGTGGGCAGCTTGATGAATGCCAGTCAATATTTAAATCACCCAGAAAATATACCTCTCTGTTGATATCACATACATTATCAAGCATTTCACACGTTATCCAGATACTGACTGTTAGCACTGACTGTTAGGTGGTCTATAGCAGCTTCCCACAAGAATGGGCTTTAGGTGAGGCAGAGGAACCTGTAGCCATATTACTTCAACAGTATTTAACATGAGATCCTCTAATCTTTACAGGAATGTGGTTCTGAATATAAACAGCAACACCTCCACCACTGGCATTTCTGTATTTTCCGTAAATGTTATAACCTTGTATTTTTACCACTGTATCATGAAAGGTATTGTCTAAGTGAGTTTCAGAAATAGTCAGAATATGAATGTCATCTGTTACTAGCAAGTTATTAATTTCTTGAACATTGTTTCTTAAGGTACATATGTTAACGTGGGCTATTTTGAGCTCTTTTCTGGGATGCTTGCTTGTTTTCATTGCTTTACTGGGAAGCTTAGCAGAAGTAGATATTCTCATGTTATTTATATTAGTGCAGGGTGAGCTGCACTCATTGGACTTCCTACTAGGGCACACCGCCTCAGTGCTAACAGCATAAATCTTGTTCATAGGCACATGATTGCTGCATACAATAGCAGTTGGATCAGCAGAGGCATTCAGGGCAGTTAGAGGGACATACATTAGGTTACTTACATTGTGTCTACCAATGCCCCTGGTATAATGTACATTTACTAAAGCATTATGAAGGCTCAGCGACACAATGGTTGGGATTAACTGAGCAATGCTTGGGTCATTGATAAGTCATTGTCTCAACGCAGCCTTATAATGCTGTGAAAGGATCCAGGAACCCAAATTATTTGTTTCCAAAAGGTATTGAAATTGTCAACAAAAGCTACACTCATTGAGTTGCAATAATCACGTAGGAAGTTGTGAAGAGAAAGAATCCTGCTAAAGCGTTCAATGTCATGATTCAGAGAGGGCACAGGGCCAGATATGATGGGTCATTTATTAGTGTCTAGCAGAGAGTCAATCAACTCTTTGAAATCCAGTTTCAACTGCTCAGAGCTGCCCTTCATAATGTCATTAAAACCCACATGGGCTACGATAGAATCGATGTCCATGTCCTGGCGTAGTACATTCAGGAGCAGCTTAGTAATGTCATGTACTCGAGCTCCGGGATATGACATTGTTTTTGCGCCAGGAGCAGTCACATTTCTTACCATGGAGGTGCCCAAAATCACGGCTGGTGAGAAGGATGAGGAAATCTGCCCACTCCCACGCTTCACACGATTCGGAGAACCCTTTAAGGATGGGCGAGAGGCAGGATAACTTGAGCACGTAGCTCCCGGCGCCTGGTGCAGGCCTCCGACAGATGGAGAAGCCCCGCTCGATCCAGAGCAGGGACGGAAGGTTGCCGACGTCGACTTCGAAATTGTAGGGGAAGGAGTAGGAGTAGGCACATAGGCAGCAGACACAGGTACACGCAGCGACGAAGGTGCATGAGGTGCAGTCGGATAACGACAAACAACAAGACGGAGATGCATCCAACATGCGCGAACTCCGTCCAGCCACCAGCGTAGAAAAGGTAAACATTCACTCTGCGTTTTCCCCAGTTTCTTACGTAGGCTGGCGACCTGCGTGATCAAAGAAGCCACCTCAAGCCTATAATCCTCGGCAAGCAAACATTTGCCGCATTGGAACTCTGAGCGATCCAGTTTGTCCTGAAACAAAGCATAGTAGATACAGCTCCTACAGCGCTGGAACCGTTCATTTACTTCTCCGGACAGAGGGCTCCATTGGATAACCCATCTGGGACTAACTTCGTTAGCTTGATGGCTAACGTTAGCAGCTTAGCTAGGTTAGCGGCTCTTTCAAGCAGACTTTAACCTGTCAGTTAAGCGGGATTCTGGGACAAGAAATAGTGGTCCTAGATGTTAAAAGCAAACCGCGTCGTGGAATCCATGCAAAATCAAGTTCAGTATTTAAAGTACCAGTCAAAAGTTTGGACTCACCTACTCATTTCAGGGTTTTTCTTTATTTTTACTATTTTCTACATTGTAGAATAATAGTGAAGACATCAAAACTATGAAATAACACATATGGAATCATGTAGTAACAAAAAAAGTGTTAAACAAATCAAAATATATTTTATATTTGAGATTCTTCAAATAGCCACACTTTGCCTTGATGACAGCTTTGAACACTCTTGGCACAAATTCTAAAAATAAAGGAAAACCCTTGAATGAGTAGGTGTTCTAAAACTTTTGACCGGTAGTGTGTATATATACTGTATTTATACTCCGGACTCCGACATTGCTCGTCCAATTATTTACATATTTCTTAATTCCATTATTTTACATTTAGATTTGTGTGTATTGTTGTGAATTGTTAGATATTACTGCACTGTTGGAACACAAGCATTTCGCTACACCCGCAATAACATCTGCTTAATATGTGTGCGATAACAACATTTGATTTGATCTGATTTGTGTCTTCCATAGACTCTCTGTTAACTGTGCTTACCTCTCCCAGCAACCTTAAAGAGGACACGCTAAGTGCTTTGAGACCTTTTGAGTGAGGCAGAACGATTATTTTTTCAATGAATTAACCATCTACGCATGCACACACACACACAGACATGCACACATACATATATACAGAGGATTGTTTTAAAGTGAAACATAGGCACAGATGCCTGTGACAGTTTCCACCCTCTGCTTCAAATGAAGATTCATGCCACAGTGACTTTGAAGAAGATAATTTAAAAAAAGAAAGGGCACACTTGAGGCTAAGTCTGTCAATTATCTGTCACTGGGGAGCTAAGAAGACTGATACTCTTCTTAATCACCAAAGATTGATCCTCTTTAATTTCTTCCCTCTTAGAACTTCAATCTCTGTTCTCTCTGTCTCTCCCTCTCTCTCTCTTTATTCTCCCTCTGTCTCTCCCTCTCTCTCTTCACTCTCCCTCTGTCTCTCCCTCTCTCTCTCTTCACTCTCCCTCTGTCTCTCCCTCTCTCTCTCTCTTCACACTCCCTCTGTCTCTCCCTCTCTCTCTCTCTTCACTCTCCCTCTGTCTCTCCCTCTCTCTCTTTTTATTCTCCCTCTGTCTCTCCCTCTCTCTCACTCTCTTCTCTCTCTCCCTTTGTCTCTCTATCTATATTTCTCTCTTCCATTCTGTTTGAAAGACAGACAGGGCAGAAGTAATTCAAATAAGAGGAGAGGGAGAAAGGCTTGAGCAGGGGGTGAGTGAGGGCATGAGGAAAGGCATACCCCAGAGCCCACAGTACATCCGGCCCCCCAGACCCGAAGGCCCCCATCTGGAATTAGACATAAGCCTCTCCCAGAGCAGGAAGAGGGGATTTTAGGATTATTTATTGTGTGTTTGTGTGTGTGTATGTGCGTGTTTGTGTGTGTGTGTGTGTGCTCATCGTTCAGTGGGGAAGGGGCCTGCCCTGCACATGTTCCCCGGCTGGAGAAGAGAGAGAGGGTATAGAAGAGTGGAGAGTGATGTCATGAGGATAGAATGTGAAAAGGTTGTTTTTTTTGGCTCACATTTTTGTGAGGGCTCTTTTTCTCAACTTTTCTCAATCGCCTTCCTCCCACCTTCTTTATTTCCTCCCTCTCTCCCTCCCTCCGCTCGGGAGGAGCACAGGAACTCCCTTTTGGACTGGCAGTCACTGCTCCTCCCTTCTCCGCTCCCTTTTTCCCTCCCTCCATCCCTCTTTCTCTCCCTCCCTCCCTCCCTTCTCTCTCTCTCTCTCTCTCTCTCAATCTGTGACATTCAGATGGACCATTGTGGTCTTACCAGAGCGCTAGCTAGCTGTTATCTGCTGAACTCAACAATGAAGACTATCTCAGCTGCAGGACCATTCTCTTACTGTAGACACTGCCACCAACATGCCCTTCACACCTGCTGGGCCACCCTGGGCCTCTGGGGAGGGTGTGGGTGTGTGGGGGGGGTTTGCAAGTTCTTTTAGCTTGTTGTTCTGCAGAGACATTCGGGATACAGGGTACAAGTGATCTTATGTCGTGTGGGTGACCAACACGCCAGCTCTCCCAATGGAACTTGAGCTCAGGTAAGAAGTGGTTATGGGGATGTTATCAGAGGGTCAAGTGTAGTCTGAACTCTCGCTGAGAGTCTGTATCAGGCTGAAATCCAGCTACAGCTGCTCTTGGATAAGGTTCTTGTAGAACAGGGGTTCCCAACCTTTTTTTCGCACCGCAGACTTGAGCAGATCCAGAAACAGTTTTGCGGACTGGAGAACACCCATCAAGCTAGCTTTAGGAAGCTGAACCTGGCCAGATTGCTGAGGTCTGGTTGGAGAGCGTTTTAGTCTTTTAGTAGGCTAATCAGTGAAGGATATTATCAGAGGCACAAATGTAGTCTGAACTCTCGCTGTGAATGTGTTCTGTAAAAGTGTCTAATGCTTGATGTCATATAAAGGGAATGTTATAAAAAAAATTTAAAAAATTGTGCTTTGAGAATGTTACAATGAAAATGAACCACTGTTCAATAGTTGTAAATGTGTTGTTTTGTTTAGATTTTTTTTATTGTTTTTTCGTTTCTACAATTGTAAAGCGACTTTGAAAGTGATATACAGTACCAGTGAAAAGTTTGGGCACACCTACTCATTCAAGGGCTTTTCTTTATTTTGACTATTTTCTACATTGTAGAATAATAGTGAAGACATCAAAACTATGAAATAACACATATGGAATCATGTAGTAACAACAAAAGTGTTAAACAAATCAAAATATATTTTAGATTTTAGATTCTTCAAAGTATCCACCCTTCGATTTTGTACGTTTGCCCACTGACAAAGAAATTATCAGTCTATAATTTTAATGGTAGGTTTATTTGAACAGTGAGAGACAGAATAACAACAACAAAAATCCAGAAAAACACATGTCAAAAATGTTAGAAATTGATTTGCATTTTAATGAGGGAAATAAGTATTTGACCCCTCTGCAAAACATGACTTAGTACTTGGTGGCAAAACCCTTGTTGGCATTCACAGAGGTCAGACGTTTCTTGTAGTTGGCCACCAGGTTTGCACACATCTCAGGAGGGATTTTTTTCCCACTCCTCTTTGCAGATCTTCTCCAAGTCATTAAGGTTTCGAGGCTGACGTTTGGCAACTCGAACCTTCAGCTTCCTCCACAGATTTTCTATGGGATTAAGGTCTGCAGACTGGCTAGGCCACTCCAGGACCTTTAATGTGCTTCTTCTTGAGCCACTCCTTTGTTGCCTTGGCCCTGTGTTTTGGGTCATTGTCATGCTGGAATACCCATGCATAACCCATTTTCAATGCCCTGGCTGAGGGAAGGAGGTTCTCACCCAAGATTTGACGGTACATGGCCCCGTCCATCGTCCCTTTGATGCGGTGAAGTTGTCCTGTCCCCTTAGCAGAAAAACACCCCCAAAGCATAATGTTTCCACCTCCATGTTTGACGGTGGGGATGGTGTTCTTGGGGTCATAGGCAGCATTCCTCCTCCTCCAAACACGGCGAGTTGAGTTGATGCCAAAGAGCTCAATTTTGGTCTAATCTGACCACAACACTTTCACCCAGTTGTCCTCTGAATCATTCAGATGTTCATTGGCAAACTTCAGACGGGCATGTATATGTGCTTTCTTGAGCAGGGGGACCTTGCGGGCGCTGCAGGATTTCAGTCCTTCACGGCGTAATGTGTTACCAATTGTTTTCTTGGTGACTATGTTCCCAGCTGCCTTGAGATCATTGACAAGATCCTCCCGTGTAGTTCTGGGCTGATTCCTCACCATTCTCATGATCATTGCAACTCCACGAGGTGAGATCTTGCATGGAGCTCTGGCCGAGGGAGATTGACAGTTATTTTGTGTTTCTTCCATTTGCGAATAATCGCGCCAACTGTTGTCACCTTCTCACCAAGCTGCTTGGCGATGGTCTTGTAGCCCATTCCAGCCTTGTGTAGGTCTACAATCTTGTCCCTGACATCCTTGGAGAGCTCTTTGGTCTTGGCCATGGTGGAGAGTTTGGAATCTGGTTGATTGATTGCTTCTATGGACAGGTGTCTTTTATACAGGTAACAAGCTGAGATTAGGAGCACTCCCTTTAAGAGTGTGCTCCTAATCTCAGCTCGTTACCTGTATAAAAGACACCTGGGAGCCAGAAATCTTTCTGATTGAGAGGGGGTCAAATACTTATTTCCCTCATTAAAATGCAAATCAATTTATAACATTTTTGACATGCGTTTTTCTGGATTTCTTTGTTGTTATTCTGTCTCTCACTGTTCAAATAAACCTACCATTAAAATTATAGACTGATCATTTCTTTGTCAGTGGGCAAACGTACAAAATCAGCAGGGGATCAAATACTTTTTCCCCTCACTGTAGAGCTTGATGTTTTTTGCGACTTCACTTGAAGAAACGTTCAAAGTTCTTGAAATGTTCCGTATTGACTGACCTTCATGTCTTAAAGTAATGATGGACTGTCGTTTCTCTTTGCTTATTTGAGCTGTTCTTGCCATAATATGGACTTGGTCTTTTACCAAATAGGGCAATCTTCTGTATACCACTCCTACCTTGTCACAACACAACTGATTGGCTCAAATGCATTAACAAGGAAAGAAATTCCACAAATTAACTTCTAACAAGGCACACCTGTTAATTGAAATGCATTCCAGGTGACTACCTCATGAAGCTGGTTGAGATAATCCAAGAGTGTGCAAAGCTGTCTTGAAGGCAAAGAGTGGCTACTTCAAAGAATCTAAAATATAAAATATATTTTGATTTGTTTAACACTTCTTTGGTTACTACATGATTCCATATGTGTTATTTCATAGTTTTGATATCTTTACTATTATTCTACAATGTAGAAAATAGTACAAATAAAGAAAAACCCTTGAATGAGTAGGTGTGTCCAAACTTTTGATTGGTATTGTGTAAATATCATTTTTTAGATTATTTTTATTTTTTATGTGTGTGAGCACTGTGGTGTGTGCGTAGGCGTGTACAGCTATGTGTGAAAGGGCTGCATGTTTATCTGTCTGTTTGATCTATGTTGCTGTATATGTGAGTGCATGTTTATGTGTGTCTGTTTGATCTATGTTGCTGTATATGTTGGAGAGATATGTGAGTGGATGTTTATGTGTGTCTGTGTGAACTCTGTTGCAGTACATGTTATGGGAACTGCATGTGTGTGTGTGATCTCTGTAAGGGTACGTGTTAGAGGCATGTGTTTTCGTGGCCATCTGGTGATCCTGAGAGTGAAAACACATGTTAGGGGGGCTGCGAGGGGCCGTGTGAAGCTGTGGACCTAGAGACAAGAGGGTGTGTGTGTGTCCTGTGTGTGTGTATATTCTCTCGTGGGACAGGATGGATGGATGGATGGAGGGAGGGAGGGAGGGAGGGCGGGAGGGCGGGAGGGAGGGAGGGAGGGAGGGAGGGATGGAAGGAAGGGTGAGGACGATGGGGGGAGGCAGTGGAGTGGGTGCTGGAGGAGGCTACACAGGGTCACAGTTTTCCATAGTTTCAACTCCATACAACTAAGGGGCTTTTATCCCGTCTCCAAATTCTTCCAATACTTATTTACACACGCACTCTCTCTCTCTCTCTCTCTCTCTCTCCCCCCCCCCCCCCAACCCCACACACACTCCTCAGGGTTCAAACTCCAGGGAATGACCCAGTATGAACTCTGACCTTTTGTCCTCTTCTGTAGGAGTTTGAGAATGCCGAGGGGGAGGAGTACCAGGCGGACCTGTCCACCCTGGCATCCCCTGCATCCCAGAGCGGACCTGATGTCTACATCCTGCCGCTGAGTGAGGTGTCACTCCCCATGGCCAAACAACCAGGACGATCAGGTAGGACTAACATGTCTTTCTCTCTCTGTCTCTCACCCTCATTTAGTATCCGTTTAGTTCAGTTCAGTGCAGTTCAATTCAAATACTTTTCTTTCAACAAGAAGCTTTAAGTATTTGAAGTCATCTCTGTGAGGGGGATGTTCAGGGTTGCATAAGCCCAGGGAATGACTGTCAGAGAGAACCATATCAAATTCATACAGTCACTAACTTTCACAGCTTTTCTCAAAGGGAATCAAATATAAAGGGTGGAGGAAAAGGTCAGATGAAGGTGGGAGGATAAAGAGGAAAGGTACAAATACAGCTTTTATTTTGGCCCTTTATTCTCTCCTTCAAAAAGTGATGCAAACTTTGCAGTAGATTAGAGCCTAAATTTAGTGTTTTCACTGAGGAGTTTTCAAGAATATCAGGGTGTACTGTACTGTATATTCTGGCTCTGGTGTTAGCCCAAGAAGTCTTCCCAAAGTTAGTGACCAACGCCCTAACACTGGACCCCTGCTGGGCCTATCCCCCATCCCCACTGCCCTGGACCCCTGCAGAGCTTGGATTCCACCTATCCCACAGTCCCCTCTGCCCTGGTTTCCCTGTATAATTAACTTTGTGGTCCATGAATGAGCTCTCTCTCTTTTTCTCTTTCCCTGTTACTCCCCCCCCCCCCCTCTCTCTCTCTATCCCTTCACTCTCCAACAAACATCTGCCTGTTGTGTAATTTCCCTGGTCCAGCCAGCCTACACAAGTGCTCCTTGGTATGTCAGGCATGCGAGAGAGCCAGACCCTCATTCTCTATTCCTCTTTCTCTCCCTGTCTTTCTGTCTATCCGTGACAATGGCCCTGGTTGTGTGTTGATGTGTAGGCTATGGGGCTGATGCATGCAGATCTGGACCAATGCACTCATGACATCAGAAGGCGGGCTGAATTAATGAATCGTACTACAGAGTTCGCTGTGGGTCAGTTCGTAGGTCAGTCTGCTGCTTGACTAGCCATTCCAATATACTGTTCCTCAAAGCCTGGGACCATATTCATAAAGCGTAGAAGTGCTGATCTAGGATCAGTTTTGTCTTTTAGATCATAATGCATATTATATGGCCAGGGAGGACTTGATCCTAGATCAGCACTCCTACTGAGATGTTTTGTGAATACGGGCCCAGCACTTTAGTGGACATGAGAGTAATCCTGTCCCCAAGGAGCTTAAAGTGAAGATTGCAGAAATAGGTTGCGGTTGAACATTGATTGTTTGCATCCTTCCAACTAAAAGTCCCAATACGACATATCACTTTACATTTGTATTTTAGGAGACATTTATATTTTATCTGAATTTGACTGAAGTCATGTCGATAAAGCGTTTGGAAAAGTGACATCAAGAGAAGAACACACGAGTGAATACACAGCAGGAGTGAAGCCGCTGTCCACATAAGACAGTAAAGACCCACATTATACCGAGTCCTCATTGTTTTTGAATAAGTATTTTGGCACTCTGAATAAAGCCAAATTATCATCTGACCATATCCTGTGATTTATTTATTCTGTAACAGCAAAAAAAAAGTTGTATCACTTATACTAGGCTTTTAGCATAGCCCCTTTTACACCCCTGCTGGCTTACCCCTACTAGCCAACCACTAGCAGCCTTGAAACACATCACTTATTAGCAGTTCAGCACATGAGCATTTCTCGTACTGTTACACAAAATCAAGATAAACCTTTACCATCCTGGTAGACATTGAACATCTATAACCAAACTGGCTAAAACTCTGTTATTGGCCGATGGTAGTTATAGCTAGCCACATGCTAACCTGAGTGCTAATGTTACTAGCAGCAGTAACAGTAAATCCAGGTATAATGTCTAACATAAACATTGGCTACCATGATATCCTGCAAGTTATATCGGCCAATAAAGATAAAGTAGTTCAGCAAAAATAAAGACATACCTTGAAATAAACAATGACATTAATCCGATTGATATTTGACCATTCGTTTCTGCAAAACGTGCAGTGTTGATGGAGTTATTGTAGTTTGCTTGCTAGCTAGCTAACTTATTCCACCCCCAAACATCATGCTAGATCCAAGTGGGACAGTTTGTTTTGCTAGGCCTGGTGCACTTAGATAGCTGGCTATCTTCGTTTGTGATCATCTACTAGCAACGTAACAAAACTCTTTGGGCACTTTAGTACCTACTTACCTGATTGGCCTCCATCACCGAAGCCACCAGCAGGCTGTTCCTTTCTTTACGTCAAAGCCACAATGTATTGTTGGTATAGAAGTTTTTGATTAATGTAATTCAAATTGCAAAAATAAAAATGTATAATTAGTATGTGTTTTATAAACTTTTGCATAAAGACCGTTTAGATGGAATATAATCAATACACATTGTTAGATTTGTGGAATATATATCGTGCAACCTTTATTTTAACTCAGAATGTTGACTATCACAAATGAGAAGTGGAGTAACTTGTGGTACATGCTGTAGGCCAATGCTAAACATAAACAGCTGTTCTGTCAGGACATATGTTCTCCTCATGTGTTTTCCATATGGTCACTGTGGTGTATGTATGGCTGTATGAGGTTTCTGGAGTAAGTAAGAGGCCTATAGTGACACACAGGGTTGGTTAAGGGCGGGAGCTTGGGTAGTTAGGGGCTGAGGTCAGACACTTGATCCTTTCAGACCACTCCCTATGAGTTCCCTATGAGCTGGCCACAGGACCATGTGGCTGCTGCAGTTCTCTCTCTCTCTCTCTCTCTCTCTCTCTCTCTCTCTCTCTCTCTCTCTCTCTCGTCTCTCTCTCTCTCTCTCTCTCTCTCTCTCTCTCTCTCTCTCTCTCCCTCTCTGCTCTCTTCTTCTCTCTCTCTCTCTCTCTCTCCTCTCTCTCTCTCCTCTCGTCTTTCTTTTAAAGGATCATGTCTGTTTCAAGGCTCTCTCATTTCCAGGATGGACCAGTGAATGCAGGCTGTTGTTTCCCATCAACAGTTCCCCTGTTGTATATGCTGTGTTGCTAGGAGGCAGAGGGGGAGAGGTGGTTCCAGTCCACAGCCCCCCTCCCCCTGTTGTGTACTGTAGCTGTTTTGGGAGCTATAGGGGGAGAGGTGGGAGCTAGAGGGGGAGAGGTGGGAGGAAGAGGGGTAGAGGTGGGAGGTAGAGGGGGAGAGGTGGGAAGTAGAGGGGGAGAGGTGGGAGCTAGAGGGGGAGAGGTGGGAGCTAGAGGGGGAGAGGTGGGAGCTAGAGGGGGAGAGGTGGGAGCTAGTGGGGGAGAGGTGGGAGGTAGAGGGGGAGAGGTGGGAGAGGTGGGAGGTAGAGGGGGAGTGGTGGGAGGGAGAGGGGGAGAGGTGGGAGGTAGAGGGGGAGAGGTGGGGCTCGTAAAATTGCCTCTCCCATACGGTCAGACCTTGGCTATGTCCAGAGCCAGAACTGGTCCCCAAGACAAGACCCACCCTGATAAAGCTGTACTGTTATACACTTTCACAGGTCACAGGGTGCACTGGTGAGAACACACACATGCACACAAGCACCCACCCCCCCAGAAATGAATTGGCTTACTGTTGACAGGAAAGATGGAAGACTCTGAATTTATGGTAGTAGGCTTGTAGTCTTGACATGCGCATGGCTGTTACTATGGGCATCTCCTTGGTCTGTCTGTGGCCCTCAGCAATTGTCTAAGTCACTGTTTTTTTATCCTGGTCCTGGAGACCCACAGGGCATGCAGGCTTTTTTTCAAACCCAGCACGAAGATACCTGATTCCATTAATCAAAGGCATAATGATTTGATGAATTGAATCTGGTGTGAGAGTACTGAGCTAGAACAAAAACATGCACAGTGCTGCACACCCTGTGGCTCTCCAAGACCAGAGTTGAAGACGTTCTAAGCCGAGTTCTAAGAAGTTGAAGTTCCAAGCCATTCTAGAAGCCATTTCAGAAATAAGATGGAGGAAACAAAATGGCATAACCTCTATTCTAAGTTGTCAGTTATCACTAGACGGCCAGTTCACCACTGTGTCACCGAGCTTCGAGGTAAGAGGCCCAGTGTCTGTGTGGTTGGTCCTTGCTGGTACCATACAGTCCCAGTGGTAGTACACAGACAATGGCTTTGATTCTCTGTAGAGTCTGCAGTAGCGAGCAAGCGTACCCACTACCCACTGAATGACTAGCCTCTGGAACATTACAGGGCAGAGGCATCAGATATGGCCCTCACACAGGGAGGGGTCTGTGTGGCCGGTCTGTCACTGCCTCAAAGATCTGTCTGTCCTCCTCTGGAGCAGAGAATGTGAGTGTCATCGGTCATTGTTGGGGGAGAGAGGGAAGCACAGAGGAGTAATGTTGCCGTCACTCCTGTCTCGTTTGGATGAGTTTGGGCTGAGAGTGAGAGCAGGCTGGTGTTTGCAGTGGAGGGGAAAGAATAGACGCAGGACACAGGACATCATCGTGCTACTGACAGATAGGATACAGCAATGGGAGAGGAGCACTGAGGCTGATACTATGATGCCAGGGTATGCCTCTGACTGAAGGAGAGGGACCTTAGAGGAACCTTATTTTTGGACCATGGCTTTTGCTGCCATTTTTGTGTCAAATCAAAACAAATCAACATGGCGAGGATTGGGTCTTAGAGGATTCTTGACCCATTGCAAGATGGATGGCTTATATCGCTTTCATTCAAGTACATGACAGAGGTTTGTATTTGGCCAGGTGACATTTCTTTCTTAATCCTGAGGCTTGGAATGGAGAGTCATTGTCAGAAACAAACCAATGCTGAGGTGGGTCTCGGCAGGGGTGATGTTGTGGATGTTTGTGTGCGTCCGTATTTTGTATGTGGATGTTTTGTATTGTTTAAAACAAAAAATGCTGAATAATAGTTATGTTGTAAAACTTGCAAGGTCATTCTCTAACGTCTCTATTTTTATTCTGTATCTGAAGTCCAACTACTGAAGTCCACAGAACTCGGTCGCCACAGTCTTCTCTACTTGAAGGAGATCGACGATGGCTGGTTCGGAAAGGTAAGACCACTCGCTCCCTCCTCACTTTTACTTGTGGATTATTTTGGTTGTATTTTTTTTGCTACAGGTTTATGAGAGGTAGCTAGATGAAATGTTCTGTCACGGTTGTTGTGCGCTGAGCTGTGATCCCAGGCGTGTTTAGGAGCGAGCCTTTTTAAATGTTTGACATGCTGCAATACCTGTAATGTGTGTCTGTAACGGTAATGCTGGGCTGATCCCCATGCCTTTGATGTCTCCCTGACTGACTGACTGACTGACTGACTGACTGACGCGACAGTACAGAGAGGTAGAACGCCACCAAAAGGACTTGTGGTCCTCTGTAGCTCAGTTGGTAGAGCATGGCGCTTGCAACACCAGGATAGTGGCTTTGATTTCCTGGACCACACATACATAAAAAATGTGTTTTGGAT